CTGAAGTTCTATGGAATTTTACTTGTCACTCTCCTGGCGTGCAGTCAAACGGCAGCCATTTAAAAACATGGGGTTTAGAGTCCTTGTTTATATTTGAAAAGTCTTTAGCTGGGATAGGCAATTTTATTTTTATTATGTGGGTCCTATGAATATAGAACAGTGAACTCTCTCATAAGTGTAACACTGCATTTAGATATCAAGAGCAATTGGTTTAGGACAGACAGACACAAGCATCTTCTCATCATTGGTGGGGTCTCATGCCCAGCCTAAATCTTCTGAGAGCCAAGTCAGTGTCACTAAGAGGGTTTTTAAAAGAGATTTTTGAGGAGAGGTGAGCAAAACAGAGGAGAAAACATCAGATTAGGGTGACTTTTACTTGTTTTAAAACAATCTCTTGAATTTACTGTGGAGATGACCATAGAATCTGAGCAGAAGTCAGACCCCAAGGATGACAAAAGCCCAGGAGAGGCAGGTGGAACTCATTCCCAGACATGCTAAAAATACCGAGGTAGGGGCCAGCGTACAAAGAAGAAATCGTTACCACCACCTTATGCCATGGACATGCAGAACTTTCTGAATAATTTCTATAAAATCTCAGAAGGAACTTGTGTGGCCTATTCACGTTCAAGTTTATGATGCAATGGGACATAGATTCAAGAGCCTGCAGTCACATCAATTTCGTTTTGCCAAACAAATTGGGAAAAGTGTTGATCATGTTTGCTGATCGACGCGGCAGTTGACCTAAACAATTTAGGGAAAAACTTGAACAATGAGGCTGAGTGCAGTAGCTCATGCCTGTAATCCCAGCACTTTGGGAGGATGAGGTGAGGGGATTACTTGCGCCCAGGAGCTTGAGACCAGCCTAGGCAACAAATAAAAAAAATTAGCCAGATGTTGTGGCACATGCCTATAGTCCCAGCTACTTGGGAGGCTGAGGCAGACGAATTGCCTGAGCCCAGGAGGTTAAGGATGCAGTGACCCGTGATCATACCACTGCACTCTATCCTGGGCAACAGAGACAGACTCTGCCCCCCCCCCAAAAAAAAATCAAAAGTAAACAATGTGGGGAGGGTAGACCCGCCGTCGCACGGCTCTCCTGTTGTTCACCTGTCATCACCACCTGACATATACCTTTGCAATGACCTTTTACTTGCCTGTCTCTCCAACATCCTTGAGGCCAGGGACTGTGTCCTGTTCATAGCTGTAACCCCTCTTCCTGGTCCAGAGATGACCAGTCATGTTTATGAAGTGAATCCGTGAATGAATGAAGAACAAAGTACTTCCTGTCTAGAGTAATAATTTCTGTTTTGCCTAAATTAAACCTATTTCTTTTGGTGTGAGGAAGTAAGTGGTTATATTACAGAGCAAACAGAAATAAATGACTATCTCATTTAATAATGAACTAGGACCAATAATAAAATTTGTCTGGCTGCTTTGCCATGGAGCTCAATTTGTTAACTGACTACATTGAAGATCTAATTTAATTAAATCCTGAGCAAGACTCAGAAGGCCTAGGGAGAGCACTTTGTTTAATTACAAGCAGAGAAGCAAGCACCAATCCTGTTGATCTGGTCAGTTAAAATTCTATACAATGAACATGGGCAAAGAAAAAAACATGTGGCTCCAAGTGCTTGTCAGGCAACTCTGATGAACTGTGGATTCAGCACTGCTATTAAAAACAGCAAAGGGGCCGGGTACAATGGCTCATGCCGATAATCCCAGTGCTTTGGGAGGCTGAGGTGGGAGGATTGCCTGAGGCCAGGAGTTGGAGACCAGCCTGGGCAACATAGCCAGACCTCATCTCTACAAAAATAAAACTTAAAAAAATTATCCAGGGGTGGTGCTTGTAGTCTCAGCTACTTGAAAGACTGAGGCAGAAGGATCACCTAAACCTGAAAGGTTGAGGCTGTGTTGAGCTGTGACTGTGCTACTGCACTCCAGCCTGGGTGACAGAGTGAGACACAGATCCCCTCTCAATCCCCCACAAAAAAGAAAGCAAAGACAAACTAATTATGTGTCCTATAGTTCCACAGGGATGAAAATAAAATGTTTACCTCAGTTGCTCTGCAGAGCTATGCATATCATGGGGAACAGAAGACAATGCCAACCGCAAAACATAGGTACTTCCTTTGGGAAATGTATGCTAGGTGGGTGGTGGTCAGAAGAAACCTTCCAGTGAAGTCTAGCAAACCAGCATCCAATGGCATCTAGTACATGTTTTGAGACCCACAATTGTCTTGAATTAAAAAATAAATACAACTCATGGGATATATATATAGACTCCCAAACACTTTTCCAATTGTGGAAGAGATGCATGTTCCCCCACATTTTATTATCTGGAGGTAACTGAGATACAAATTATATAAATTTAAATAAAATCATATGAAATGTACAACTTAAAAAGATGATAAATTGTGATCAAAAGGGTTTTAACCAAAATGTCTGTGTGTACATGTGTATGTAAATAATTATTTATCTAAGGACTCCTATGGAAAAAAAAATGTTACGGTGCTAAACTTTCCACACCAATCAACAGGTAACTTTTTTTTGAGGTGGTATCTCTCTCTGTCACCCAGGATGAAGTACAGTGGCACAATCATGGCTCACTGTATCCTTGACCTCCTGGGTTAAGGTGATCCTTCTACCTCAGCCTCCCAAATAGCTGGGACCACAGGTGCATGCCACTATGCCTGGCTACTCTTTTGATTTTTTTTTTTTTTTAAAGAGATGAGGTCTTGCTATGTTGTCCAGGCTGGTCTTGAACTCCTAGCTCAAGCAATCTTCCCATCTCAGCTTCAAAGTGCTGAAAGTACAGGCATGAGCTGTGCCCAATATAGCTCTTGATTTTACCCTGAAAACTATCACTAATTTTTCAAGCATTTACTATATGCCAGGCATTGGCTAAGGTTTTATGAGTATTATCTACTTTTCCTGCATTAGATGCTATTATTGTCCCCACTTTATGGTAAACTGAGGCACAGAGAGGTTAGGCAACTTGCCAAAGACTCATGGTGACTTGGCAGGTCAGCCTATGACCCAGGCAGTCTGGCTCCAGAGCCCTGGTACATAGTATAGTACCTCTACACTATGCTGTTCTTATTACTAACCTCCAGAGTTGGAGAAAACACTGGAAAAAGGCAGGGGGCAGGGGGAGGGGCTTTTTATTTCTTGCTTGCCATGATCAAGGGCTGGCACGTTACAGGAGGGAATTTATTCTAAACCACAATATGTAATTACATATAAGACCAACAATTTCCCTCACAAAACATGCACCATCAGAATGCACACGCTAAAAGCAAGCACATACCTAATTAGGGCATTAGTCATAATGATCAGGGAATGTAATTCAGGAAATTACAGGTGGTGTGGGCCTTAGTGTTAGGTAAATTTCATCAGGTCGCCCAGATAAAGCCTTTGCTGACTGGGATGATTTACGCCTGCTGATGCAAACACGGAGAATGGCATCCAACAGAGCTTGGTACTGAGAACATGCTTATGCATGTGAGTTAAGACAAGATGATGTTCAGATTTGAGAGGTAGTTGTGCTGGCCTTTTAATTATGACTTTAGCTACAAATGAGGAGAAGAGTGGATAATATTCAAAAATAGCAACTTCTTCCCTATTTATACACAATTGCAGCTGAGAATCCATGCATGTGAATTAGAGACAGAATGATTTACACAGACTGACCTTATTGAAGAACAGAAGAACAAGTTATTCCAAGGTGATCTTTAGGGGTAAGGCAGAAAGAACGATGGTGAAGAATGATGAGACCTACTAGGTGTATTTTCTTCTCTTTCTAATTCAACTTTATGTTTGTGCAAAATTGCCAGTCAGAGCACAACGAAAAAGTAAGCTCTAATGTTTCCAAGACTAAGGAAGAAAGTAAGGTAAGGTAGGTTTAGTCATTCAAAGTGCAGTTCAGAGGGAGTTGTTTCTAATTGAAGAATTCATTGCTTAACCACAGTCCAATCACACAACAAACACACATGCTAGCTTCTCTCTGCCCCACACCTGAAAAAGACCTGGCCGTATTGGATGTGGCACGCCCACCCTCCTCTGGAAGTACTTGTGGATTCCTGGGAAAAACTCCATCTTTGGAAAACTGAGTGCTTTAACAACTCTGCCAAACAATTCTGTCCTGAAACATCAGCTCCTTCAGTAATGAATGTATGCCCTAAATAAAAGGATTTCCAAACCATTTCAGGCCCTGGGGTGGATACGAGGAATCACATGTATATCAACACATACACATGTGTACACATATAGGAACACATGCACATGTGCATGCTTATGTCTACACATAAACATATGCATATCTAAACAGATGCACATACAGATATGGGTATTTTAACTAGCAAGTCTGTACTAGGAATGATGACATTTCATATTAGATTCAGTAAAGGTTAGTAAAAGTAGGTAAAAAAATTTACTGAAAAAGCTGAAAGGAGAAAATTCTAAAAATATTCTTAGTTTATCTTAAAGAACATTTTAATTGAGATTGGGGAAGTTGTGCATACCCTGGAGAGCAGTTGAGAATCATTGGCCTGATGTAATTTTTTTTCTTTTCTTTTTTTTTGAGTTGGAATCTCACTGTGTTGCCCAGGTTGGAGTGCAGTGGCACGCTCACAGCCAATGTAGCCTCAAACTGCTGAGCTCAGGCAATCCTTCTGCCTCAGCCTTCCAAGTACCTGCAACTACAGGCGCATGCCACCACGCCCAGCTAATTTTATGATTTATTGTAGAGATGAGGTCTCATCCAATTGCCCAGGCTGGTCTTGAACCCCTGGACTCAGGCAACCCTCTCACCTTGGCCTCTACAACTTAGCATTTTCAAACTGCTTTTTCCTTTCAAGAATAACTCTGTAACAAGAAAAAATGGTGATTCCCAAGACTACACATGTCATGAAACTCTTAGTGCTGCCCTTGGTGCTACATGCCAGCTTCTCTCAGCCCCACACCCAGAGAGGCTTGGCCACCGCTGGATGCAGTGGACTCACCCGCCTCCGGAGCCGGTCCCGCTCCTCCCGGATGGCATTCATGGTGGCCTTGGTCCGGTTCAGCTCCTCCTCTTTGCTGCACAGCATGGCGGTCAAGCTCTCATTCTCTTCCCTCAGCCCGGCTAGCTCCTTCTCCCACCGAGACCTCTCTTCAGCCAGGTTGGGGTAAAGGTCCCGGCCAAGCACCCCCTCGATCTCTTCAACTGTCTGCAAAAAATAGTCACAAAGAGAAGCTAAGTAAGTTGCCTTGGAAAAAGGGGACAGGAAGAAAATAGCCTGGACAAGTGCAGGTGCCCACAGAGGAGGGGCTTCTAGAGCCACTTCCCTGCAAAGAGAGATCGTGACTAGGGATCTCCTAGAACTATGCTCTCTGCAATTTCAGATGAGGCTCCTTACTTGCCTGAGTGGCAGTCTGTGTTACCTAGCAATCCCCAGAGTGAGAAAAACACAGACCTCGCCTGGTGTGTGAGTCTATCTAACTGCCATGTCCACATAAATGGTTTTCTTTCACTTGAGCTCCCGAGTTGGTGACTACCCATGATCGGACAGCAGACCAATTAGTGATTCTGATGATGCGATGGCCACTGTGAGACCGCAAACTGCATACAAAATCCAACTTGAAGTTTCCTCAATTACAGGCCTCTCATGTGCCAGCCCGGCCATAAGACAGGTCACCTCACCATGTCAGCTTTCTTGCCCAATCGGAATTCAGATGGTGTGAATGAGGTTCGGTCCCAAGATGTGAAAGACAAAAATAAACTTCAGTGACACAGAAAAGAGGAAGCTCATTGCGGAGGGTTCGAAGACAGTAGGGATTTAATTAATAACCCAGCTATAAATGGAAAAGAAGAGAATCTCAATAGTACTGAGAGAGTTTTTAAAAAATTCATTTAAAACACAGTATTAATGGAGAAGAAACATACATACAATTAGAAAAAAGGAAGGATTTGTTTTGCTTGCTTTCAGAAACTATCCACTCACATCTACTGTCCTAAGTGGGAGCCAAGCAGTCATGAAGCAGAAGAGAGAGTTACTCGTGGTAAGGAACAGAAGATCTCAAAAATGAAAAGCATAGGAGGATGCAGCTATCAGATGCTCACGCTGGTTCTCACATATCGTGACCACTTTCCCTAGGTTGTGCTCTGTCCTTCCTCTCAGTTCTGAAACTCTCACCCTCCTCGGCTCTGCACCAGAGCCCACTTTGTCCCTTGCTGGTTAGCAGCCTTGGCTTTCTACTTTCTTCTCATGCTGAGTCCGGGGCTAACACCAAAGCTGACATTACAGTCCAATACCAGGGAAAGGCATACCAGCGACTGCTTCCTACCCCAAACCACATCAGCAATATATTTGCAAACGAGATGGGGAAAGCCGGCTGTGTTGTAAACATGCATCCTAGTTTACCTTGAGACACCATAGTTCTTTTGTGCAATCCAGGATTCTTATTGATAGAAACTTGGGTCTAGAATTTTATTTGTACAGGCTGCTCCCAGACTTCTAAGTTTGAATTGCTATGCCTCGGTCATTAAGCTATGATGAAGTAATAAAAAGATACTAGAGGCCCAGTATCCATAGGACTTGACTTTCCCATTGTTCACAATGAGTTTGTGCAGATGTGACTGATTCCTCTTGCCTAGTCCTCCTTAAGCAGTGAGATGAAAGCATGTTAGAGGCATGGCTGAGATCTAGCTCCAGGGTGCTGGGGACAAATGACTTAGTCAGGCCCTGAACCTTCCCCCTTGTTAGCACCGTGAATTGATGACTCCTGAAACAGCAGTCTAGAGGCCTTATAGCTTTAATAAAACTTCCAAGTTAAACTTATAACTAGAGAGTGCTGATGAACCACGCTAAAACGACATGGGTCGATACTAGTCGTCTCATGGTTTCCAAATAAATCGCCCCTTTTGCAGCAGCGCCCGAGACTGGCTGCTGATAAAATGACTTTTTCCAAAGCAATTCGACCCAACAAAAATTTATAGGGCCCCTGTTTCTACCTCATGGCCCATTCTGTAGAATGGCTCTCGTGAAAACATCCATTCCTAACAGGTATTTGAGAAAACCACACTGCAAGAGAAGAGCTGACCGCTTCCCTCATATAATCTCAAGGAGCCACAGAGAGGGTGAGGGAGGCCTACCTTAATAGCCAAGTCGCAGTGCTCGCTGGCCGTGGTGAGCTGCTCGATGTGCCTGTCCACCTCGGCCACGGAGAGGCTGCAGCTGCTCTTCTTCCTGCCGCAGACGACATTCTCCAGTCCCGTCAGCACCCTCTGCAGTTCTGAGTTCAGGTCACTGCAGGTATCTGTGAGTGAATGAAGACAAAACGCAAGAAGCAGCGCAATGAATGTGCTGTTCTGCTTACCACGAGGGACCCGTTCAGGTAAAATGGAACTGCAATGGAGCGTGGCACTTTAAAGTTCAACACCATTCTGCCTAATCTCTGGCAGAGGCTCGGAGCCAACGCAAAGCTCTTTATTAAGAAGCTTCAGACCATCGTTATTTTCTATATAGCTGAGCCACCCTGAATTCTCTTGTCTTTCACTCAAAGGCAGTGACATTTTGAGTTTCTTTCTTTTTTTCAGTCTGTGTCTCACTCTGTCATCCAGGTTGGAGTACAGTGGCACGATCACAGCTCACTGCAACTTCAAACTCCTGGGATCAAGCGACCTCCAGCCTCAGTCTCCCAAGTAGCTGAGACTACAGGCATGCGCCACCACATCTGGCTAATTTTAAAAATTTTTTTGTAGAGATGAGATCTCGCTGTGTTGTCCAGGCTGGTCTTGAATTCCTGGGCTCAAGCAATCCACCTGCCTTGGCCTTCCATAGTGCTAGGATTACAGATGTGACCCAATGCACCCAGCCTTGAGTTTCTTTAGTAAGAATGAAGAAATGCCCTGAAGGGGCTGCTGGCACTCAAAGCCTTTTGGTCAACATTCCTGCTCAGTCAATCAGACACGCACTAACCACAGGAAGAATTTCTGCTAAGAAGATCCCATAACTTTACTAAACAAACAGAACACAAAAGCTCACAATAAGCAGAGATGCGATGTATTTTGAAAACAGAAACTGTGTAAGTGACACAGTCCTTGCCCTCAAGGAGCTTATAATCAGTACCTTCCCCCAATATAACCAATCAATATATTTGCCTTTGTAGCTTAATCCACATTCTTCTATCAGGGGAAAAAAAATTACAAACTGCTTAACAAATTTCATATTATCCTCCATGTAAATATCTTGTAACCAATTCTAATTAATTTGATTTTGACTTAAAAATCTGGGTTACTTTTAAGTGTTGGACATTTAGCACCTGGTCAGGGAAGGAAAATTCATTATAACCATAATGTGAGCTAGATCTATCTTGGAAGATAATGATGATGGGGGGAAAAACATCCCCTTAAAGTCAAATACAAATTTCTTAACCTATTTTGGATTCCATATATCTCCATTCAATTACTGGAGCGAGACAAGTGCTGACTCTATGCCATCTCTCAGAGTGCATCCTTCCCCTACCTCCAGTCTGACTCCTGCTCGATGTCATCAGTTTCCTTCTTGCCACTTCCCTTCTCATCACAGGTACCGTGTACTAAAATAGTCAACTGCTTTTGGTGCTTACCTTCGGAAGACTTCAAGGAAACTCTTGACACAATAGGAACAGGATTTCTCAGAGTATCTATAAATTACAGTAATCTAGAGAGAAGATCAGCCTGAGGCTTTCACTCCAACACATGCACACAATAATTCTACCTACTTCTCAAACCTGTTCCTCCCCAATCTCTCTCATCTCCCTGAATAGCACCATCATCCACCCAGTTATTCAGGTCAGCTCTGACGTTCTGCTTGACATTCTAAATTCAATCTATCTTGAGACCACAACCTCCAGAACTTATCCCAAAACTGGCCTCTTCCTACTGTCTCCAGTGACACCATCCAGGTCCAAGCCACCATCATTTCTCAACTGAATCACAGCAACACCTCCCCTCTCCCCACACTGTCGCCAAGGGGAGCCTCTTAAAGGCATAGAACAGATCATATTACTTTCTTAGTCTGAATTGTCCAATGGCTTCCCATATCATTCATCTAATGTCCAAACTCCTTACCAAAGTCTGTAAAACTCTGCATGACCAAGACTGATGTGCTCAATTCAGGCTGCACCATGGACTTCCCTGGAAAGGTTTATATAAAGCACCAGTGACCAGGCCCCACCCTAGACCAATTAAATCGCAATCTCTAGGGGTGGGGCTTGGGACAGAAAAACAATTTTTAAGTTGTCCAGACAATTCTAATGTTCATTCAGGATGAGAACCACTGATCTGAACCTTGTCTCATCCATTCACCTCCCCCCTTGTTCACTATGTTCCATTTATACTCCTGGCCTTCCCTCTTTCCCTGGAAAGAATCAAACTCTTGTCTGCCCCAGAGGTTCCTTTTCCATTGCTGTTTCCTCTGCCTAAACTATCATCCAAATGTCCACATATCATTCAGTTCTTAGCTCGAATGCTCCCTCCTCGCCAAGCTCTTCTCTGTCTAAAGCATAGAGTTCACCCCTTCCCCTGCTCAGTCTTATTCCCCTATTTTCTTCATGACAATTATCACAATCTGATCTGACTTATCTCTCTTCTACTAAAATGTTAGCTCCGTAAAAGAAGGGATCTTCATCTTCCTCACCACTGTACCTCCAACATAGAATAGTGTAGGCGATCAAATATTACTTTATAAATGAATATAAACACTGCATCACTATTTCTTTCTTTTCTTTTTTTTTTTTTTTTTTTTTTGAGTAGGAGTCTCACTCTGTTGCCCAGGCTAGAGTACAGTGGCATGCTCATGGCCACCCCGGTGTCGACCTGCTGGGTTCAGGCGACCCTTCTGCCTCAGTCTTCCAAGTAGCCGGAACTATGCCTGGCTATTTTTTGATTTATTGTAGAGATGAGGTATCGCCAAGTTGCCCAGACTGTTCTTGAACTCGTGTGTTCAGGCAATCCCCTCACCTCGGCCTCCCAAAGTGCTGGGATTACAGGCCTGAGCCACCATGCCCGACCCACTATTTCTTGAGGAGATATGTTTCCCTTGGCCTTGTGCTTTTTTTTGCTTGCTATGGACCTCGCCCTGAGTGGCTAAGAACTGGAGACACTCATTGTTGGAAGACCCTGGGGATGGAGGGCAGCTGCATACCATCAACCTGAGGCAAAGGGGCCCAAGTAAGAGGCAACACTCCCCAGTGGCCACACCTATCGGTGTCTGAAGGACCGCTGATCCTCTGGTGCAGGTTTCCCGGTACCCAGAGCTGGAGCGAACACACATTCCTGAGTTACTTGCGTTAAGTGTTTATGAGTGGGATGAGGAAGAGAGATGCTTCAATTCGGCCACTTCATGCGGATTTCCACAGGTTCCCCAGTGCAGTAGTCACCCTGGATGTTTGCTGAGGGGCTCTCACAGCAGGACTGGAGGGGTGGCAACCAGACTGCTTCCAGGGGGTACTGGGCAATAGGGGAAGGAGGAGCCGCTAGGAATTTAACCAGTGTTTCTGCCTCATTCTTTAATTGCACAACTGGGCCCTGGAGTCAGGTTGAAAGCAGAGCATGAAGAGGAGAAAGAGACAGACCTTAACTCTGAGAGGCTCTGAGATGTACGATGCCACAGTTCCTTCTAAGCTCCTGGCCACTAATATGGGGAAGGTAACCTCAGAGAATATGGTGAAAAGACGAGGCACTTGTTTTTAATTTATTTTAAAATTATGCTTGAGTCAGGGTCTCTGTCGCCTGGGCTGGAGTGCAGTGGCACAACCATGATGATCACGGCTCATGGCAGCCTCGATTTCCATCCCGAGTAGCTGGGACTACAGGCACATGCCACCATGCCTGGCTATTTTTCACATTTTTTTTTTGTAGAGATGAGATCTCACTAAGTTGCCCAGACTGGTCTCAAACTCCAGGGCTCAAGCAATTCGCCCACCTTGGCCTCTCAAAGTGCTGTGATTACAGGCATGAGCCACTGTGCCAGGCTGACATCAGGCATTTAAACTAACACGAACACTCTGAAGAGCTTATGAGCATCTGCCCTTCAAGCCAAGGAGGCTATAAATGCTCCCTTTTCACAGGGAGCCAGATGTGCAAAAATATAGTTGGGGCGATGAACCCCACATATTCCAGTCTGTTCCACAAAACTCTGCATTGTGGCTTCACACAAATGTATCAATAACCTGCTGGCACCTGGCTATTGTTGTTGGCTGTCCTTTGCTATTGTTCCCAGTTTGAAGCCTCGCAGGAGGACAAGGGGCTGGGCTAGCCGAAGCAGATATTCTGGGATCCTCTGCCATGCTGCTGTCCCTAGGCATCAAGCACTCACCACCATTCACCCCCAGCATCTACACACCTCCATACAGGTGAAACTGTCTTTCACAGTCTGTGGTATATTCTTCTAAACATACACCTAGAAAGAATCCCAAACTTCTTCCCTTGGCCCACAACCGGCCCCTGCTGGAGACCACACCTTCAACACCAAAGGTTGAGGAATTGGAGTCTCTACGAAAGATAAGAGGTCTACGATTAAGGGACCAGAGGGAAGGAGATAAGCCAAGACAAGGAACCAAGTGTTCTGGTACAAAAGACATTGCAATGTGCTGGCATCCATGGTGATGTGGGATCTCAAGGCAGGATGACAGTTCCTTCAGTTTGATCAGCACCCAAAGGCCTTGCACATCACATCACATTCCAACCTATCAGGCAGGCAGGTAAGCTTTGCTCCACAGAGGAGACATCTGCGGCTTGAAGATGCTGCAAGGTGGGTCGGCAGCAGCGCTGGTACTACAGCACTGGTCTTCTGTACCTAGGGCTATTTTTCACGGCAACATCCAACCCAGAAAAAGCATCTCTGGGCGTACACGCCAGCTACCCAAGCACGTGTATGTACCTAACCACAGCTATTGTTTCACCAAAGAGCCAACAGAGAAACAAAAGTCACAATTAAGTAAGGAATATCAGCTCTGAGTAGATTCTGAAAAGGTAAGGATATCTATTGTAATTCCTAGAACAACCACTAATAAAATAATGCTAAGAGAAAAATTAAAATTCTAAAAAGAAATTCAGCTAACTCAAATGAAGGAAGGAGAAATAAAAGAAAGAGGAGATAACTAGAAAACAAATAGTAAATTGGAAGAACCATAGTCAACCATATCATTAATTACATTAAATGTTAATGAACTAAATATGCCCCAAAAGATATAGAAAGGGTGGATTTTAAAAGACCCATACAATAATCAGGTTGATTTTGAATAAATAAATAAAACCCAGGAAATAACATAAG